GGCCACTAGACCCAAAAAGAACAATCTTACTTTCATCAGTCCACAAAACGTTGCACCATTTCTCTTTAGGCCAATCAATGTTCTCTTTGGCAAATTGTAACCTCTTCAGCACATGTCTTTTTATTCAACAGTGGGACTTTACGGGGCTTCTTTCAGATAGCTTGGCTTCACATAGACCTCTTCTAATTGTAACAGTACTCACAGGTAACTTTAGACCTTCTTTGATCTTCCTGGAGCTGATTGTTGGCTGAGTCCTTGCCATTTTGGCTATTCTTCTATCCTTTCGAATGGTAGTTTTTCGCTTTCTTCCACGTCTTTCAGGTTTTGGTTGCCATTTTAAAGCATTTGCGATCATTTTAGCTGAGCAGCCTATCATTTTCTGCACTTCTTTATATGTTTTCCCCTCTCCAATCAACTTTTTAATCAAGGTACGCTGTTCTTCTGAACAATGTCTGGAACAACCCATTTTCCTGAGAATTTCAGAGAGAAATGCACTGTAACCAGCATGTACAACATTTGCTGCCTTCCTTCCTTAAATAAGGGCAATAATTGCCACCTGTTTTTCAAAGAATGAATGACCTCACTAATAGAACTCCACACTGCTATTATTTTGAACATGCCCCTTTCAATTAGTGATTCAAGTACACAGAATCAGCCACATGCATGTCATGACTGTTGGGGGTCTGTTGGATTTCTATTACTCTACTACACCTGCTAGTAAATTATTTGCCATGTAGAAATATAATTTCTACCAAAAACAGTGATTGATCAGGTTAGTGATGTCTGACTGCTATTATTTTGAACACAACTGTATATTACCTTTTTTATATAACATGTATATAATGTATGTGTGTCTGTGTGTATGTATATATATATATATATATATATATATATATATATAGAGAGAGAGAGAGAGAGCGAGAGCGCTCAGCATAAATAATGGGTACACCCAAACAGATTTGTCGGATAACCTTTACTTTCCTTTCAGAATCAACATTTTCTATGGGACACTATACTACAAAATACTCCCATAAATGTGGGCCGCTGGTTGCAAACAAGGTTTGTTAATTTTCTCACACAAAAAAAAAAAGTATTTTTCCTAACAAATTCACTCAAGACCATGTTGCAAAAATGAATAACAAAAAAATCCTAATAACAAGACTTCAACTACAGAGGAGTCTAATTATTCATTAAACAGGTGTCCAGCACACAGTTTATTATTAAAGGGTGCTACTTCACAAAGAAATTCATTTCATGATGTCAGCAATGGCACCACAAGGAAGAGAAATGTCACAAGGCCTGAGAAAGAAAATAATTTCTTTACACAACAAAGCTGAAGGCTACAAGAAGATCAGCAAAGTTTTACTTATCAGTTATAATACTGTAGCAAATGTGATGCAAAAATTTAACAAAGATGGAACTGCAACCACCTCACAGAGACATCCAGGCCATTGATGGAAGTTAACACCTCAACAGGAGCGTTATCTGATGAGAAGGGTTGAAGAAAATCACCATGCAAGTTCACTGCAGTTAGCTAAAGAAGTAGAAAGCGAAACTTGGGTGATTGTTTCCCGTGACACAATACGGCGTACATTGCAGAGGAATGGCATACATGGGTGTTGTTCACGAAGGAAGCCTCTCCTAAAGCCCATGTACAAAAAAGCCTGCCTAGATTTTGCCCGGGCCAATGCTGAAAAAGAAGACTACTGGGACTCTGTGCTCTGGAATAATGAGACCAAGATAAATGTTTTTGGAACTGATGGCTTCATAATTGTATGGCGTCTCAAAGGTGAGGAGTACAAAGAACAATGCATGGTGCCTATAGTGAAACATGGTGGTGGCAGTGTCCTTCTGTGAGGCTGGATGAGTGCTGCTGGTGTTCAGGAGCTGCATTTCATTGATGTGTCATGAATTCACAGATGTACTGATCTATATTGAAAGAAAAGATGCTACCATCATTTTGTGCCGTTGGTCGTCATGCACTTTTCCAACATGACAATCATCCAAAACACAAATCTAAGGCCACTGTTGTATTTCTGAAGAAGAATATGGTGAAAGTGATTCAGTAGCCAAGTATGTCTATTGATCTGAACCCAATCGAACACCTATAGGGAATACAGCATCCAGGCTTTACAAGAGATCATTCTTAAAGAATGGAAAAAGATTGATGTTGCAATACGACACCAACTTGTTTATCCCATGCCTAGAAGACTTCGTGCTGTCCTTACAAATCATAGAGGTCATATAAAATACTAGATGTAGTAGTTTTTGTTGTGGGGTGTATTCATTTTTCATCAACTAAATTTAGTAAAACTGAACAATTTGTAATCGAAGTTATATTATTAACCTTACTTTCATGTAATCAGTTAAACAAATGTTCTATAAAACTCAGTTTTGTCAAAATTTTGGAAATTGTTATTTTGTTCATTGAGACATTGATTAAAATATTACTTTTCAAAAGTTCAAAAGGGGTGTACTCATTTATGCTGAGGTGTGTGTGTGTGTGTGCGTGTGCGCAGTTCAGGGAGTAAAATAAGTATTTGATCACCAAGAAAAACATGACTTAGTACTTGGTGGAGTAACCCTTGTTGGCAAGCACAAAAGTAAGTGGTTTCTACACATCTCAGGAGAGATTTTTTGGTCCACTCTTCTTTACATATCTTCTCTAAATCCTTAAGTTTTCTTGGCTGTCATTTGGGAACTCAAAGTTTCAGCTGCCTCCATACATTTTCTATAGGGTTAAGGTCTGGAGACTAGCTAGGCCACTCCATGACCTTAATGTGCTTCTTCTTGAGCCACTCCTTTGTTGCCTTGGTGGTATATTTTTTGAGTCCTTGTCATGCTGGAAGACCCATCCAGGACCAATCTTCAGTGTTCTGGCTGAGGGAAGAAGGTTCTCATCTTAAGATTTTACAATACATGCCCTGTCCATTGTCCCCTCAATGTGGCAAAGTCAGCCTGTACCTTTAGCAAAGAAACTACCCCAAAGCATAATGTTTTCACCATCATCTTTGACTGTATTGATGGTGTTCTTAGGGTGATAGTCAGCATTTTTTTTCCTCCAAACACGGCAAGTCCAGTTTTCCCCCTGATGAAGCCACGTGACCCTGTGGCGTAATGCGTAGGGGACGCCGCGGTGGACGAGCGGCATTTACAAGCACAGGATCTGGGCACAGCTCTGTTGGACACTGTATAATGTGAGTGGCGATTTACTTTTTAATAAAAGGTGATTTAACCTCACAAAGGATAAGGCACTATTGTGGCTCTTTTTTACATGGTATCCCAATATACTGGGAGGAGGAAATACCACCCAAACCATCCCTAATTATCTATTGAGGCTCAGTGTGGAAGGAGGAATAAGGGAGACCTCTGGTGGCAGGAAAATGGCAATATAAATCCACAGCATGGATGGAAATATATATATATATATATAGCATGAAGATTACCACCCAGTCCTGATAGGACAAAAGTGTTGTTAGCCACTTTGTTTGGCTAATTAAGAAGGTGAGCGCACACCTATCTATAGAGCACGGGGAGTGTGGCACATCACTGAATTTGTCACTGAAAAGAATTAAAGCACAAAGAGGACTATCTATGAATTCATTTTTGAGCATTTAAGTAGTAATAATTTGAAAAGCACTAAACACTGCACTGATTTGAAGCACAAAGGTTTTTCACATCATTATTTATATGATCACTTGTATATGATTTTATGTTTATATTATGGAGCGCGGCACCTGTATATGTATTTGAGTGTATATATATATATATATATATATATATATATATATATATATATATATATATATATACACACAAATATTTCTTTATATTTTATGTTTCACACAGATAATGAGTATTGTGTAAAGTGTTGATGCACCATAATTTGATGAAATAGTTTAATTAATTTATTGCACAAGGGGAGTATCTCATTTTGGCTCACGAGTACTATTAATTTTTATTTGTACGGCAAGTCCAGTTAATGCCAAAGAGCTCAATTTTGGTCTCCTCTAACTACAGCACTTTCTCCCAATCCTTCTCTGAATCATTTAGATGTTCATTGGCAAACTTCAGTAGAGCCTGTACATGTGCCTTGTTGAGGAGGGGGACCTTGTGGGTGCATGTTACCAATGGTTTGTTTGGTGACTGTGGTCCCAACTGCCTTGGGATCATTCAGAATCTCCTCCCGTGTATTTCTGGGCTGATCTCTCACTTCTCTCATGATCATCCTTACCCCATGAGGTGAAATCTTGCATGGAGCTCCAGACCGAGGGCGAGTGATGATTATTTTGTATTTCTTTCATTTGCGAATGATCGCTCCAACAGTTGTCTCCTTCTCACAAAGCTTCTTGCTGATGGTCTTGTAACCCATTCTAGCCTTGTGCAGGTCTACAGTCTTGTCCCTGGCGTCCTTTGACAGCTCTTTGGTCTTGATAGTGAGGTTTGAATGGAAAATTCTGTGGACAGGTATCTTTTGTACTTATAACGAGTTGTCATTAGGAGCACCTTCTTAAATTGACAGGACTAATCTGTGTCCCACATGAGCACATAACTAGTCTGTGGGAACCAGAATTATTGTTGGTCGGTAGAGAATCAAATACATATTTTACTCACTGAACTGTAACTCAATTTATAACATTTGTATCATGTTTTTTTTCTGGATTTTTGGTTGATATCCTGTCTCTATCATTTAAAATACACCTATGATAAAAATGATAGATCCTTCATTTCTTTATATGTGGGTAAAGTTACAAAATCTGCAGGAGATCAAATAATTATTTTCCCGTGTGTGTGTACATTTTTTGAAATTTTTTTTGCATACTTATTTTAGATGACATTGCTGTTTTTATCTTTAGTGCATAGTGGAAGCCCTCTGTGAACTAAGTCTTCATTCTTGTAGCATGTCATCTTTAGGGTAGTGTGGAAAGGCATGTTTGATGTTGTCATTTGTGCTAGTCAGCATATGTTTCAATTTGTTTACTGCAATTCTGCTTTTGTAGACCCCAACTTTGTGCGAACATTTCTTACGACATATAGATCATTTTGCAAACCCCAGGAACTTCTGAGTCTTCTCATAGAAAGGTAAGTGATATTTCCTACCTATTAACAACATATTAGATCTGTCTGAATGACAGACTTAGGTTTCATATACTGGAATTTTATTATGTTATGTCTCTACCTGTAACTATGTATTATAATGCCCATCCTAGAAAACTGGCTGCATAAACAAATACAGGATGCAGCAGCTCTTGGTACATAAAAATTAAATAGTTATTTGACTGAAGATTATGGATAAGACTTCAGCTATATCCTCCAATACTATAGGCATGGCTGCAATTGCTTAATTTCAGCAAAACACTGTGAAATTGATCAGTGCTGGGACAAGGTCATCCAGCGCCCAGGGCAAAGATGCCAATCTGCGACCCATCCCCCCCCCCCCAGTTCATGCTGTTGCAAACGTGCGCGCCAGAGACTGATGCATGCAGTCTGCCATTTTGTGAAGAGTAGCCATGTTATTCCCTCATTCTCCTTCCCCCTCCCTTCCTGAGAGGCACAGCGACAGATGTGTGTGTGTTAAAAGTGTCACAGGCCAGATCCCGGCAGGGAGCCACGTGGTGCTGCACTGTCCAAAGAACCTGTGTAATTTCACACCTCGTAAAAAGATAAGAGAGCCTTCCCAGGAGTTCAAGGCATTCCCAAGCAACCCACACCAGCTAACATTTTTAAAAGATCCCTTTTTTTCCCTATGTCTTATATCTTGGAATATGAGAGACATACATAAAAGCCAGACATATCATCGGATGGACGATGAGCAAGCAAACAATTTGATGGGTCACTCGCCTTATCTCGGACCATCAGGGAAGCCGAAACATAGAACTCGTGAACTGTGCAAAATATAATTTCATAATTCATATCTAAATAATCCCCAGACTTGTCTGCATAATAATATACCCGCACGTGGACTGTCGCTTGTGCAGATGGGAAGTTATGGACCAGAATATAAATTAGGAAAGATGTTGGCTCCAGTTTTGGGTTCTGCCTGACGATCCCTCCCTAAATAGGGGATTGGTCTTTTACTTCAGAACCACCCCTGCTGGGAAACTCTAAAACAGGCTGTCAAGCCTAAGAGTAAGTTAAGTTGAAGACGTCTCCCATTTTAACATCAATATACCACCTGGGGAGACCCGTGTCTTTCGCTCTGAAACGTGATCTGCTTACATCCAAGGCTTAATGGCAAGTAACGTAACCCTTTAACGTCTCCCTGTTATCTCTTTGCTGTGCTGTTTTCTGTATATGTATATATATCTTAGTTACATCTTCTCTGTAAATATTTTTATTGCACCTGTTTGACCCTTTTAGTAATAAATCTCTCTTTCTGAAAGTGTTGAACTGTTTCTATAGCTCTTAATTGCAATTTACGAATCCCTGCCTTTAAAATTACGCTACTGTTTGTTTTAACCCTCTGTATAACAGGCCTGTATTATGACTGGGTTATGCAGTCGATTATATGAACCATTATAATGTTATAGCTGAACGTCGAGTTTCCTCTTTCTCTGAATAAAAAGGGGGTAGTGGCAGTGTGAATGGTTAATTGCCTAATTAACCTGACCCAGTAACAATCGATCCAGGCTGCTGGCACGTCGATCTGTATCCATTAGCTGGAAAATCGTTGTGCAGGGTGCAGCTGGGTGTGGCATTGTTACGCACGTCACATCGCGGTTTTAGGTCGGCTAGCCATTCGGTCACGAGTTTTGGTGAGAAGGTCTGGGATCTGACGCTGTGATCGTGACATAATAGACGTCACGATCGTGGGATCGTCGCATTTTGGTGGCGGTGATCTTGCGATCCGTGACAGTAGACTCCAACTTTGTGCGAACATTTCTTACAACATATAGATCATTTTGCAAACCCCAGGAACTTCTGAGTCTTCTCATAGAAAGGTAAGTGATATTTCCTACCTATTAACAACATATTAGATCTGTCTGAATGACAGGCTTACGTTTGATATACTGGAATTTTATTATGTTATGTCTCTACCTGTAACTATGTATTATAATGCCCATCCTAGAAAACTGGCTGCATGAACAAATACAGGATGCAGCAGTTCTTGGTACATAAAAATAAAATAGTTATTTGACTGAAGATTATGGATAAGACTTCAGATATATCCTCCAATAGTATAGGCATGGCTGCAATTGCTTAATTTCAGCAAAACACTGTGAAATTGATCAGTGCTGGGACAAGGTCATCCAGCGCCCAGGCAAAGATGCCAAACTGTGACCAATCCCCTTCACCCCCCCCCCCCCCCCCCACTCCATTTCATGCTGTACAAGCTTAGGAGATCATACAGCTAGCAGTAACTTACTTGTCATAATAACTGCCACTGTCACTACTCCTGTCAGCAGAAGGAAGGCGCCCACTTCCCTGCAGCAAACCATTGTACTCAGGGCAGCCGCCCTTTCTGCCCACCCCTTTTCCCGGCCATGAAATTGATGGAATTACTGTTACCTCTAGTATTCTTTAGGTGACATAGCAGACATCTGGGTATACATTTTGCCTCCAGGTGGTTGAGCACTTAGCAAATTAAAAGGCACAGCTCCCCCTAGTGGCTGCACCCCCTGCACCATCATTGGACCTAGGAATCCTGTTTCAATGCACCTTTGAAGTCTCTTCACTGCTCTGGTTGTTTGTGCAAGGTGTTACTAACACTATCTCCCATGTCATGGCTCTATGCCACCTTAATCTAGTTCTGTCCATCCTTACAGGTCCTCTGCTTGACTCTTTTGCAGCTGACAATACTTTGATTTGGAGCCTGTAGGGACTAGCCACTTTATCCTCTAAGTCACTTTCCTCATTCTCTACAGGGATGAGGAAAATTTGTGACTGCGTCCTTTTCTGGCTTTGCATGCCTGCTCTTTTTTCTTAAGTAGTATTTTCTTTGCATATTAATGAAGACTTTGTTTTACGAACGCATGCTTTTTTTTTCAGTATGAGGAAATGCCACCCTCTTTTTGATCTCCTCCTTATCCTAAAGGAAATGTTGTGAGGTTGGTTAGGATTAACCGGCCTACTACTGTACCCTTCTGTAAAACCAACCTGCATTTTATTTTTCTGGATCTAGTGACAATTTTGAACATTGAATTTGCCAAGATCTATCCCAGGTATATGCTGGGATAAAAGGCACTGTTTCCTGGCATTGCTCATTGTACCAGAGCAGTAAGTGCTCCCTGGGCCTTTCATCCCCAGGTATCTAATTTCTCGGTTGCAAAACCATTACTTGGTCCTCATTGTACAAGGTACTTTCATGTGGTTTTTACCTTTGGCTGATACCAGTTTTTGGCTTGTGGTCCTAGAGGCAGTTATACAGTTCTGCTACACAACGACACCGAGCACAGAACAAAACACTGCTCTGGGTGAGTCCACAAGAAAACTGCCGCATCCAACACTGGTGCCGGTCCAGTTGGCCTCTGCATGGTATAGTGAACTTGAACTCAAATAAATGACCACACAGTATTAAAGGAAACCTCCACAAACATCGAGCAGCGGACGAAGAGAGATTGTCGATGCATTTCACTTAGCACCTAATCATGTCACACTAACAAAAGGGTACACATGTATAAATGCACAGAGTCCTTTCCATAATCACAACTGAACACAATTGGTTGTTAATAGTGGTGCACCGAAATGAAAATTCTGCTGCCGAAACCGATACCGAAATTTCAGAATGCATGTGGTGAAAACCAAGCCAAAATGTCTGCGTATGTGGGGGTGGGGAGGCTCCATTTTTTCTTTCTTCTACTTTCATGTATATTTCTTTTTTTTACTTATGATTTTATTGGTATCACATAGGGGACCAATAGTCCCCTATGTGATAGCATATGAGTGACAGGTCCTCTTTGTAGGGGAGAGGGGGTGAAGGGAAGTGTGTGCATGGAGGGGAGCAGTGTATACAGAGAGGCTTCCTCACTGGCTGTAACTATATGTCAGTGATGGTTTTTAAATGTAATTGCCGGCTTTTTTTCTTCTTCACTATAGCGCACGGAATTAGTCACTTTCCCCGGAGCTAAAGGAAACTTTGTTTCTTTAATCTCTGGAAATAATCTAAAAGGAAACTTTTTGTTTCTTTTAACTTGGGGAAATAAATTAAAAGGAAACTTTGTTTCTTTCAGCTGGGGGGAAAGTGATCGCTAACTCTGTGAGCTATAGTGAAGAAAAAAAAGCCGGTAATTACATTTAAAAAAAAAACGGCACTGACATAAAGTGACAGTCAGTCACTGTATACACTGCTCCTTTCTCCGCCGCGCCCTCACCCCCCCTCACATCTGCAGTACACACAGTCTCCTGTATCAGCACCTGTATCGGCTACATTTTTCCTATCGGGAAAAATGCCAATGGGGCTATTTTCGGCCGGTATGTTTTGGTGGCCGAAATTTCGGTACATCCCTGGTTGTTAACCCTCTTGGATAATACCATGTATAAAACAACAGGGGAAACCTAGACATAATAAGGTACTATTGCTCTATAAAAAACAAACTGAAACTAAATATGTTAAATATCTCTAAACATCAGCACAATGAATATATATAAATTCGTAGATGGGCAATACCATCCTTCAGTTTACCAAAGTATTAGTCTCAAAACAAAACATACATACAAAAATCAATTAAATAATGAAAAGCCACATACTGTACATGTGTAGCCTTTGATTGGTATGTCCTGATTAAACGTAATGAGCTTGAAATGTTTCAGAGGTCTCTCTTCCCTTGTTGTATATCTGTGGATGTTGTCTTGAATTGATGCAATAAAATTCTTTAACAGTTTAGTTGATAATGTAAGGCTCCCTGTTGGTGTAAGTTTTTCCTTCATGTTTTTTTGGGACTGTTGGGACTGTTTTTGGCATTCCCCCCCCCGCGCCCCCCCCCCCCCCCCCCCCCCCCCAATAAAGACTGGATGAGAAATTAATTTCTTAAAATTCTTTTCTCCTGTTAAGTGTTATTTTTGTGCTGTTCTCTGTGTTAGGCATATTGCTAGTTCAGAATGTTTTTTTATTGGAAGGCTATATTGTGTTACTGCCACCTTCTTTCCCTGCTTAGTAGCTGCCAGCTTCTTTCACTTGATTGTTATATTTGTCCAGATATACTGAATGTCCAGATATATTATTGTTAAATTTGTCCAGATTCCTAGAGGCAGGGCATACAGAAAGTTTAGTATTCAGTGACCATACAGTGCTTCATTTCATAGGAATACAATGCTGAAGAATTTGTTTTTGGGCCCACGTCTTAAAAATAAAAACCAAAAGAGAAACGATAGCTCTTACTGGCAGCCCTGAACTGGTTCTGATAATGCACATTTATACTACATATGAAAGCTCTATGTATATTGTGTAAAGACAATAGGCAGTGCTGATTTAATACTTGCACACCATCCCAGGCAATGGATGTGGAGCTATCAAAATTACCATCATTTGCACTTCTTGCAATTCTTTAAGCAGTTAGATATAAAACCTAAAAGGATAAAAAAGCAGTGCCATCTGAGTGTAGTATAACCATACATTTTTAATCCCAAGTAAAGCAACTCACAATAACAAGACTTGTAGCAAGCATGTAATGTATCTCACTGCTGTAACTGTGTCCGCTAAGCACTGAGACACATTACAGGCCTGCTACATGTCTTTTTATTGTGAATTGCTTTACTTGTGATTTAAAGATGTTGTATGGTTATACTACACTCAGATGGCGCTGCTTTTTTTATCCTTTTTGAATTTTCATAGAGTCGCTTCTAACTCCCTCATTTGGCAGCCAGCACACAGTACAACTACAAAAGACTGCTTGGTTTTTTATACATAAGCCATACTGTAACGGAGGGTAGGCAGGACAGAACACACAGGGCAGATGGCAAACACTTAAAGCTTTATTGAAACAGACAACAGTCACTCAAAGGGGAAATTGCAGAGAGAGAGAGCCCAAAATACTTGTAATCCAGCCCCGGTGGACAAAGTTAAAGTCTCTACAGCAGTTTGTAATCCAACAGGGAGGTAGGAGGCAGTTCACAAACAGTTTAGATAACACAGGGGAAGCATACACTCACGCAGAGCTGATGTGGTAGCCTCAGGCAAAGCTGATGTGGTAGTCTCAGGCAGGGCTGATGTAGCTTCTGGGGTCCCCCTTAGTCCAATGGGGCTTAGACAGAGTCTGGCCACTAGAGTCCCGCCGCATCTGGGATCCCTCAGTGACTGCACAGCAGAATGGATGCCCGGGAAGAGCCCAGCACCGACCTCTTAAACCAGGGCAGGACGAGAGGTGGAGGGGGGTCATTAGCAGGATGACAATGGAGGAAATGCCTTGATTGAGTTTTGGGGACATTTGGATGACAATGGAGGGGATGCCTTGATTGAATTAGGGAACATTTGGCAGGAAAGGCACTAATTGCATTGGAGATGGGAAGCACTTCCTCTGGCACAAAAAGTAAGGCATTAATTAGGGATGTACTACATTTGGGCACAAGACAGGATGGACAGGAAAGGAAATACAGTAATTGAATTTGTAACTGTACAACAGAATGACAGTGGGGAGAATACATTAATTAAATTTGTGGACCTTTTGGCAGGATGCGGGTGGAGGGGGTGCATTAATTACAGCTAGGAGCATTTGGCACACAGAAGTAGAACACTAATTGAGGATGTACTTCCTCTGGGCACAAGGGATTAATAAAGGAATTAATAACTGGGACGGGCAGAGCACCTATATTGTGACACATACATATATAATTATATCACTGGTGTGCTGTCTCCTACGCCACTTTCTTTTTCTCCTAGATCTAAAACCTACAATTCTTCAGCACAGTTAATGTAATATTATAAGATTCTAAAATTGTTTCAAAGATGATAATTCTGTAACTGGATGAACTTATTTGGATTTGTCACTACTATATCCATTATCTTTTATTAGTGTATAAAGACACCTTTTTATAAACCTTCCTGAAATTATTTAAATATGTTTTGTGTGTTTTGTATTTAGGTTTGAAATACCAGAACCTGAACCGACTGAAGCCGACAGAATTGCTATGGAAAATGGAGACCAACCCCTTAGTGCAGAGTTAAAAAGATTTAGGAAAGAATATGTACAACCTGTACAGCTAAGGTATGGTTTTCCTTCTCTGTTTGCTACCAAATTAAAATTCAAAAAAAAAAAAATCAGATGAATTATGCTGAAAACCTGAAAAGTGAGTGTGTATTTTCACTTGACATCCAGATTTACCCCCCTTCATGACCAGGCCATTTATTTCTATATGGTGCCGCGTAACTTTAGTTGACAATTACGCGATCATGCAACACTGTACATAAATTACATTTATATCATTTTTTTCGCACAAATTGAGTTTTCTTTTGCTTGTATTTGATCACCACTGGGTTTTTTATTTGCGCTATGAACTAAAAAAGACTGAAAATTTTGGGGGGAAAAAAAAAATATTTTTTACTCTTTTCTATAAAAACTATCCCATAAAAAACTAATTTAATTATGAATTTCAGGCCAAAATGTATTCTGCTACCTGTCTTTGGTAAAAAAAAAAAAAAATATCCCAATAAGTGCATAGTAATTGCTTTGCATGAAAATTATAGCGACGGTATATATAGTGGATTTTTAAAAAAAAATTTCATACTAATAATGGCAACGATCAGCGACTTATAGTGGGACTGTGATTGTACAGCAGGCATTCTGACACAGGCTAACTGACACTGACATCACCATTGACACTAATACAGTGATCAGTGCTAATCAAATGCATCTCCACCTCCTACTCCAATGCGTTTCACCCCACAAAGGGCTTAACCATGGAGACCAGAAAACTGGACAGGTTTGTCCAGAGACCCTTGGACCTTCACAAAGAACATGTGTTTAATCTGTTCCTCATAATCTTTCTACCTCTCCAGCCTCTCCCTTGTCTGCTCTACAGGTTTAAAATGAAGGGCATTCAGGTGATTCTCATTACACTGGCCCAGAAGGACGTAGTAATTGGATTCACTCAGACTCCTGGAAGACACTACGTGGGCTCTTCTGGATCATGCATACCGTCTGTCCTAGAGACCAGTCCACTATCCTTTTTCTCAGCTTCTGGCTTTAATGGCTTGGCTGTTAAAGTACAACTAAAGACAAAACCTTATTTTTCTTGTTTTGGATGGAGTGGAGAGTGATTTTAACACCTGTGAAGCAAGTTTTTATTGCTCTCTGTACCCCTGTTACCACTGAAAGATAATCCCAAATTTGGGTTGTCACCAAAACAGGAAAAGAGGGGAAATCTTCCAGTGGGGACACTAGTTCTGGTTCCTATCAGGAATTTCTTTCCTTTTGTAGGGATTTCCTCTCACTTCCTTACCACTGACAGTGTCTATAACTACCCCTTAATCTATCCAAAAAAAAAAAGTTTATCCTTTAGTTATGCTATAAAGCTCAGGGCCTAAGGGACACAGGCCTATCTGTCATTCCTACTCTCTCGAAGGCTAAAAAAATCAGTGTCTTGCAACGTTTACCATCTTGCCTGCAAAAGCCTATCTTGCTTCTTGTGAGATCAGATAATTTCATCCTAGGAAATAGTCTGTGGGGTGAATCCTGTTCTTCCACTAGTCTGGTCTAGAGCAGCATCTTGCCTTGAGTACGAATCTCAGCCTTGGTTAGGGCTAATTTCATCCTTGGCCATTTAGATTCAGAGAGAATTGGCCTCTCGTACCTTAGTTAAAGTGATTTTAAACCCCCAGTTTTTCATCAGTTGATTGAATGAAATACGGAATATGCAGCTTCTGTATGTTTTAGGACTTGCCTATTTACCTGTTGCCAAGACTGCTGCCCTGGGTTGCCTGTTTCAGGGTGGCTTTTTTATCTTGCAGCATCCTATTGAGCCACACCTTGCATGCAGGGACTAGAGTGTCTCCTTATGCTGTGTGCATTATTAAAAAAAAACACAGCCCCATAGCCTAGGATAGTGCTAGGCACTTCCCTGCTCTTCTGTACATTTCATTCCTCCCTTCTCCAGGCTAAGAGTCTGGCTTGAGACTGCGCTGTCACTTTTAACTCTTTCCTGTGAAGACTGGAAGTACAGGGAAGCAGCAGTGAGAGAGCAGGAAATAGTTTACTTGGGACTGTTTATTTTTATTGTGCTCAGTATATACAGTGACTCCATGGGACCTTAATATGGTTCTTTTTTGTACTTCAGAGGCCTCCCTTTGAGCCTATTAGGAATATTTTTTTTACCTTACCTTTCTCACAAGGTAGCCCTTCTCATTGCTATTACCTCCTCTCTGCTTCCCGCATGGGGCTTCCTGCTCCTCGCTCCAGCATTACTAGATGGATTAAACAAGAGAGGGTTCCTCTCTTTCCTGTTAAGGCACACTCTTTAGGGGTCCATTGACTTTAAAGTGGTTGTAAACCTCAGACATGAAATATCCCTCTGTCGTGTGTACTTGCCTCAGTAAAGAGCACGAAGTGCCATTTCTGTCTGCTGCTTCGTTCATCTGCTATCAGCATGAATCACTTCTAACAAGTTTTCCTGACGCCAAGAAAAAAATGGTGACAGGCGACAGACTTCCAGCAATTGACAGCCTCATCTCGTTCCTGTAAGCTGTGTGGAGGGGGTGTCTCTTTCCTCCATTCAACTGCCAGAGCTCTCCTAACTGAGTTTTGAAGTGTGTAATCTCAGCTGTCTGCTCCCTTTTTCTGAACTCTCAGAAAAGTTTTAAAAAATTCAGCACATTGAACGGATGTAAGAAAAAAAAAAAAAGTCGGCTGAAGATAGACAGGTACAAACTTATGTAGGAGGATTTGTTTTATCTCTGTGCATCACCTGAGGCCAGTCACTTCGCTGGGTATACGTAAAGGTTTACAACCACTTTAAGCATCAGGCATCTGTTTCTAAGCTTTAGCTGCCTTATACTGTAAAGAGCTTTTCCTAGTGTTACACAAGGATAAGGTTGTCTTGAGACCTAAAGCCTCTTTTTCTCCCTAATGTGGTTTCCTGTTTCCATCCTCTTCTTATATCCTATTCCAAAACATCTGGAAAAACTTTCTCTTCCCTGTCCTGATGTGGTGCATGCTGTGAAAGCCTACCTTTCAGATAAAGCTTTATAGGCAATCAGGTTCCCTTCTTTGTTCTTCCTGAAGGGTCCCTGCTTCTCACGTTGATAGGTGGATTAGACATGTCATCATTCGATCTTATGGTCTAAAGCTGTGGTCTCCACGCTGAATTGAATGCACATCTTTGGTCCCTTCTGGCCGACCAACAAATGCTGCGCCAGCCCACCTTATTCAAGCAGACCTACCTACACAGGAAACCACTTTCACACTCTTTCTCACCTCTGTGTTCTCTTAACTGACTTGGGCGACATGCTGGAACTCCTTTTCTTTCGTCAATGGGAACAAGTCCTCAACAGCTCATTTTCAAATCCAGAGTGGGAAAATCCTCCGCTTCTCACACAAGGCTTCCCTGGCCAGTAGGCACTTCTGGGATGAAGTAGAAAATACAATCAAGGCCCTAACATGAGTGACCCTCAATAGAAAGCCAGCTGCTTACCTCCTGAATGACACTGCATTATCCAAAAATAAATTTAAAAAATTCCTTAAACATTTCCTTACAGCTGCACAGGCTTGTATTCCGGCATTATTATTTTTTTAGAGACCACACCCCTCTTGCCTCTTAGTCATCTTCTTGCATATAAAATGTTTAAAATGCCTCGGAATTCAACTTTTAATGCGGATTGTCAACGACCCCTGGATGTCATAAGTAATCTCTGCAAGGGTTTACCCAACCGCTCTTCTAAATGTGTATGTTTTGTATTGCTAAATTGTGTTTTACAGTTCCCATTCATACATTATCACATGGTGGTGTCATCTATTTGTGTTTTTGTTCTGTGTTGCAATTCTGAATTTCCTGAATACTAAAAGAATTAAAAAACAAAAAACACAGGTCCCAAACTTGCAAAACAAGGTTTCTTCCCTTCCCTGTTAAGGTGCACTCTATCAGATCTGTTAGTGCTTCATGGGCTTTTCAGCATGAGGCATTTATTTCTATAAGTCAGCTGTCTTTTTTTTCACTTATTTAAGTTTTACTTGGTGATTTTTCAGGCCTCTTCTGATGCCAATTTTGGGTGTAAAGAGCTACAAGCTGCTCTCTAGATCTATCCTACATTTTCTGACCTGTTCGTAATGGGGGCCAGTTGGTATTTGTTTGCTGTGTCGCCTATTCCTCAGTTGGATTGCTTTTGGGCATCGCATGGTTAAAGACTAACATCTTATGTCCTGTACTGTACTACTAAGAAAATTTGGATTTTTGATTTGCCAGTAAAATCTGATTATTGGCATACAGGACATGACACTTGTCTCTTTCCTGTGTTATCTTCCTTTGGCTTGCTAAAAATCTGAGGCAAACTGAGAGTAAGTGGGAGGGGTTACATTGAGGATGTCTCTGAAGCTTTCTTTTTTTGTCAGTTTTCAATTACTTGAAATGAACTGCAAATAACCCATAGTTGAAAATTGAAGATACTGTGTCCTGTATTGTACTCCAAGAACTGGATTTTACGGGCATGTCAAAAACCCTATTCTTGGAATGCATTAAATGATAAAGATCCCTTCCCTATGCTCGTAATATTTCTTTGCCGCAAACCTCAGACATGATGAGAGTTAGAGGGGTTATACCAGTCTGTCTTTACTGCTTTTGTTTGCCAGTGTTCACTCCTCCAAAGGCAGCAACATAATATAGTGTACCCAAATACTTTATCCTGGTAAGTTAAAAATCCTGTTTTCTTTATTGTTCAGTGGGGGACACATGGATGTTAAGAATTATTTAACAGTCAAGTTATGCTGCCACCTACAGGGGGTTGGAACACTGGCAAACAAAATAATATTAATTAAAGAAGGCAGAGATCTCACATCTTGTGGTAGTTGCAGACCAGTATCATTGTTGAACATTGATCTTAAGCTGTTTACCAAAATATTAGCCTCCCATCTCCAACAGCACTTACCACAATTGAACGATTTAGACCAAGTCAGGTTTATCCTGACTTGCGAAGCCCGAGACAACACTGTTAAGGTTCTGAACCTGATCCATGTGGCCAGTCAGACTCCATGTGTGTTTCTGGGTACAGATGCAGGGAAGGCGTTTGACCAGGTAAACTAGCGGTTTATGTTCTCTGTTCTACATTGTATCGGTCTCGGGAATGCTATACTCAATTGGATATCTAAAGTATGCTTTACTCCGATGGCACAAGTCAGAGCCAATGGGCTTCTTTCCGCACCCTTCCCCATTACTAATAGGACAGGGCAGGGATGCCCCCTGTCCCCTCTCCTTTTTTTGCCCTCACCCTTGAACCATTCTTATGCAAGATTTGTTTAAACCCAGTCATCACAGGTCTCAATGTAGGGTCAGCTCTCAATCTAAGGATAATAACCACTTGGTGACTTGTTGCCAGATCTGTTACTTTTTTTTTTTTTTTTCCCTCTATGCTATTCCACAACTCCTACGGATATACATTAATATCAGCATTCATGACATTTGCTGGCAAGGTCTCTTACATGTACAGACACTCTCTGGCAAGGTTTCTAGCTGACACAAAAATAATGTTCAGTGCCTCTACTCCTGCTTGTCACTGTCAGCATTGCTGGATGCTTTTGTCTAGACACCGAAGCAAATGGTGTCACCACATGGCTACTCTGTACGAACATGATATGGGTGGACCTGCTCTATCCTAGTTCTCTCTCTTTTTTCCAGTGCATTCTGGGATACAGGAACCTCCACTGCCTCTCTCCCCAGCACTCAGCCAACACTTTATAAAACGCTTTACTAACACACCATAAAGGCTATATATGCAGTTACGATGGGTGAATTTACACTTTAAGCATTTTTCAATACAAAAACAACACTTTCAGGTGCATTCAACAAGCATTCTTGATGCTTCCTTAATGCTACGAAAACACGTCATGAATGCTATAGGTGCGATAATGAGCGTTGCTTCATTTGTCATAATCCGCACATGTGTGAGCGGGCCCTAAGGTGCAGAAGAAATAAAATGTTTTTCTGTTGCATGTTATGGCTGTGTGTATATATTATGGGTTTTTTTTTTTCTCCAATCTTGTATAATACTTTTGTTCCTGTGAACCTTTGCAGTATTGTATCATTATAGATATTCAGTTGTCATAGGACAAGCTACCAGGTTATACTAATTACAAATTCTGTTCTTTTCACTTTCAGAGTTTTAAATGTTTGTCGACACTGGGTAGAACATCACTTCTATGACTTTGAACGAGATGCAGACTTATTAGTGCGTTTAGAAGAATTTATAGGAACAGTCAGAGGTATGGCCTCGTATCTACATTTCAGAGCATGGATTCACATTTACTAGTTGCTGATTTTCTTCTTGTGTTTAAAGTAATTGTCAAAATTAATTGACTGATTGCAGATCAGGCCTTATGTTTATTCCTTACGGTTCTAAACTTTTTGCTGTTTAACAGTGACAGTGCATTGTTTTTTTCTAGGGGTTGTTCGAATCAAGGTTTTGTGATGAAAGGCTTATAAACAAAAATGTGCTGCATGCATCGTTTAGTGATTTCACAGGAAATAACACAAAATGCCCATGCTTTTTAAAACTGCTAGCAAATTACACACAAAATGCTTGGCAATGCTTACTAATACGTTGCCAACAGTTTCCAAGCATTTCTGAAATGAGTGAGCCCTATTCAGAGATCTCATGATGTACACATTTACAGAGAATGTGTAGGTTAGAAATATTAGAACCCAAAAGCAATATGTAAAATGTCACTTCCAGGTCTTTCTGTCCCTTTTCTCAGCAGGTCTACCCGGGAAAGATGCACAGATACAAATAAATCTAAGTACATCTGTTTGTTTTGGTCTTTTTCATTTTAAAGCAAAACTGCAATCAGAGTACTAAATGCAATGTTGGAATATACTGTGTATGTTTCTTGTTCTATCTGTCAGAGCATTTGTGATTTTGCATTTTCACAGCCAGGCAAGTGACACACACAGTTCTTGATTAGGCAATGTATCCTGCCGGTTCAGAAATTTAGCTTCCCTTGTCAACGCTCTGCTCCCAGCCTTCTTATTGGACAGGAAATCACCATAATCATCCTTGTCCAGTGAGATTGAAGCTGACCTAATGAGTAATGCCAAGTCTGGAATTAGCAGAGTGATCTTTAACTGGCAAAGTTGTGCCAAGAAAAGCAGGCTAAAATTGCAAACACATTTGCAGGTAAATCAGTAAATATATATGTATTTTAACTGCATTTTAGCTACATGCCTAGAGCTCAGCTTTAGGCACCATACACACTAGACCAGCAATGGACAAACTACGGCCCGGCGGACCTTTTAATCCGAACCGCTAGTCTCCTCTCACAGTCCGCCCTGAAGACCGGTGTAGCATGAAAATCTGTTTCCTATGAGGATCTGTCCCCCTCGACGTATCTGCGCATGTGCCGGAGATCGCCGATCGGCTGCTAATGCCTGAAACTGGCACATGCGCAGATACGTCGAGGGGGACAGATCCTCATAGGAGACAGATTTTCATGCTACACCGGAACGGTGCGGGAACAAGAGGAACGCGCGGAGCAAAGGTAAGTGAATTGACACAGGGGGGACTTGGGGACTTAATATGGGGAATGAATTACTATAGGGGGGATGAATTACTATATGGGGGATGAATTACTATAGGGGGGATTAATTACTATATGGGGGATGAATTACTATGGGGGATGATGAAATTACTATATGGGGGATGAATTACTATATGGGGGATGAATTACTATATGGGGGATGAATTACTATGGGGGATGAATTACTATATGGGGGATGAATTACTATGGGGGATGAATTACTATATGGGGGATGAATTACTATGGGGGACGAATTAGTATATGGGGGACGAATTACTATGGGGATGAATTACTATATGGGGGATTAATTACTATGCTTACTATGGGGGAATATTACTATACTTACTATGGATGACACATACACATCATTCATCTACTCTTGGTCCGGCCTCCGGGTCCAATATATGAACCCATTGCGGCCCTCAAGTCAAAAAGTTTGCCCACCCCTGCACTAGACCATTCAGCTGCAGTGTTTCCTTTACTGCTTTTTGGTGCAGGTGCAGGTGCAGCATCCAGCTTTGCTGCAGGCAGCCTGTCATAATCTATGGCAGGTCTTCAGCTTTCCAGATTTTCAGTATCACTCAGTATAACATGCAGCCCTGCCCAGCCAAAGCTTGTCATAGACTTTGACAGGCTGCCTACAGCGGGGCTGGATGCTGTCCTGTCCTTGCCGGGCGCACTAAAACGCTGGAAGGCACACACTGCAGCTGGACGACCGTGTGTGGAAGATATGTTTAAAGGTGAGAATTGCAGCTTAAATTGTATACCAATCAAATATGAAAATGTGTAATTTAAATGGACATAAAGAATACTGCCTATGAAAACAGCATCCCTAATTCTCAGTCTGGCTTTCAGTCCAGGTCACCATGTATTGCAAATTCCTGTGGTTACTGATAATCTAGCCTCATGAAAATCTCTGTTCCTAAGCTTGCAGGTTGCAGAGCATGGAGTCCAGAGTTTCAACCACTACCTATTTAATAACCTCTTAATCAGTATGGAGTCCAGAGTTTAAAGCACTACCTATTAGATAACCTAGGGATCAAGTGTGTTCATTAGCACACATTTATGTCCTGCTTCAGTTTCCAGCTTGGTCTGGTTTCAGAAATTATGTAGACCTCGAATTATAGTAAATTGAGAGGATTTTGTGACATTTAGTATAGTGGCAGTGCAGTTTTGGCAGTTCAGGGTATTTCTCTACTCATTGCTTACAATGTCATTTTTTACTGTATTGGGACCAGGTCAATGTTTGCCTTTTAGGACTACATTAGAAGGACCATTTAATAACTTTTACATATCCTGAAAGATATCAGAATGATTTTTACTACACATCAGACTTCTGCATAGCACCTTTTATACAGTTTATGGAACAGGAAGAATGTTGCTCCTACATCTAGAGCAGTGGTCTCCAAACTTCAGCCCGGGGGCCAGATGCAGCCTTTTGCTTGCTTTTATCTGGCCCTTGGGGCACTACTATTTCATCTTCTGATACCACTAATTAGGTATAATTTCCCCCACTTACACCAACAAAGGAGGTACAACTCCTTCCAATGACACTAACGATGGGGCACAATTCCTCCCAGTGACACAATTGATAGCGATCAATGATGGGGCACAATTCCTCCCAGTGACACAAATGATAGGGTCCAATGACATCAATGATGGGCAGAATTCCTTCCACTAACACCAAACAATAGAGCATTATTTTTCCACTGATGTCGGGACCTTTTCTACTCGCACTGGCCGCAGTCCGGAACTCGTGAAGTCTGAAGGACAGTACACTGGCCCTTTTATTTGGAAAGTTTAGTCATAGCATTATGACTATCAACAAGTAAAGTGAATAGCAATGATTATTTTGTTACAGTGACATCTGAAGGTGGGTGGGATATATTAAGCAGCAATTGAGCATTTTGTCCCTGAAGTTGATGTTTTGAAAGCAAAAATAATAAAAAAAAAAAAAATGGGCACGGATGTGAGTGCCATGGACAATGTCCAAATTGTAATAGCTAGATGACTTGGGTCAGAGCAACTCCAAAACTGCAGCTTTTGTGGGAGGATTCTAGTCTGCAGTGGTCAGGAGCTACCAAAAGTGGTTCAAGGGAGGAAAAACAGTGACAGGTTCATGGGTGGCTAAGGCTCATTGATGTATGTGGGGAGCAAAGGCTAACCCTGTAGTCTGTTTTTATAGAAGAACTACTGTAGCTCAAATTAATGAAAAAGTCCATGCTGGTTCCGTACGGAAGGTGTCAGAACACACAGGGCATTGCAATTTGTTGCTTATGGGGCTACGTAGCCGCAGACCGGTCAGGGTGCCAATGCTGACCTGTGTCCACAGCCAAAAGGGCGTACAATAACCACATGAGCATCAGAACTGGACCACGGAGCAATGGAAGAAGGTGGCTCAATACTCAATATTAGGTGGGTGGTCATAATGTTACGTTCCTATTACACATTACTCTACTCTAGAGGCGGGTATACCAGAGATCCCTCCTATATCACTTACTCAATGGTGCCAAAGTCTGTATCCCGCAAAAGATGAAGAAGCACAGGCCCACCAACAACTGGTCAATGGATAGCAGGGTAAACAAGATTAACAACATGGAACACCTGACCGCTATGAAACGTAAAGATGAACAGTTCCATAAAACTTGGTATTACTGGCACGAGTTTCAATACTTGTGGGACTACACCTAACATCTAACCATACTGATAATTCAGGCTACACCTCCCTACAGAATATACTTTGTACATTCCTGGGCCCATTGATTAGTCTCCAGTCTCTTTCCCTCCCGCTCCTCACACTAATCCACACTGTCCCTTCCTGCCCCCTCTTTTTTTCTTTTAGTTTTCACTTGCTCTCTCTTCTTTGTTCTCCTTTTATCATTTTTCTTCTATTTTGTGACCTATACAATGTAGACCTATACAATATTTTGGAAAATAAGCCCTTCTAACTTAAACATCGCTCTACTGGATCTCCGCCTACGTGAAAGATATAAGGGGTTAGGAAATCCGTTTGTGGTTGAATAAACTGTAGCCTCATATGTACACGGAATCCTTGGGATTTTGTATAAAATGCAAGCTAAGTTGTAATTGTTGAGTTCATTTTTATCGGATTCCAGTCTATTCTCTATTAATTGGACTATGTGCTTTGCTGAAGGACAAAATAAAAATTATAAATGGTGAAAAAAAAATGTTATGGCTGATTAGTGTAAGGTGTAATCGGTATGCTGCAATATATTACATTTTTGTTTTAATACATCTTCAACCTGTTGCCTCAAACATAACACGTGTGCGGCACCAAAAGGGTGGACTTTACCACCCACACACCACAAATATGCGTGACTTGCGGCTGATGTTTCTGTGCTGAGAGTAGGCTCCCAACGCAGAGACTGAGCTGCGAGTCACCACTAATGAACAGTAGCCAGCAGGACCAGCTCCCGACCATGTGACCACAGTGACAGCCAATTACAGTTATCACATGATCGATGATTCCATTCCCTCAGATGTACACACCCTATTAAAGGGAGGATGGGTCTGGGCCAGAAAGGGTTCAGGAAAATTTTTAAAAACTGTGTTTATGCTCTCTAATAGTAAAAAATTACATTGAAATGTCAAGGTTGTGCTTATATGGTGGCTAATTATTTTAAAAAATAATAGAGTGTAAAAACACAAACCCATTCTGATGCTTCTATTTTTATAGGAAAAGCTATGAAAAAATGGGTGGAATCCATCACGAAGATCATCCTACGAAAAAAACAAGCCCAAGCCAATGGACCTAGCCACAATATAACATTTGAAAGCTTGCCACCTCCTATTGAATGGCACATTAGTAGGCCTGGACAGATAGAAACCTTTGACCTTCTTACATTACATCCCATTGAAATAGCTCGTCAACTGACTTTACTAGAATCTGATCTCTACAGGTACTACCAATCATTTCATAATGAAAAATACATGGTTTCAGTAGAGAAGTAATATCCTGAACGCTTCACATGTTATTAATGAAAAGCTCCAAGTAAGCCACCACATGTACTAGAAAATACATTCTTAAACATCTAACAAATTTTAAGCCCCAGTTCCAAATTATTGAAGCAAGGATGGTTCTTGGACACACATCCAATATATTTGTCAGTATGGGGGTATATTTACTAAAGCTGGAGAGTCCAAAATCAGACTCCCTTCTGCATAGAAACCAATCAGCTTCCAGGTTTCATTGCCAAAGCTTCATTGAACAAGCTGAGGTTAGAAGCTGATTGGTTTCTATGCAGAAGGGAGTCTGATTTTGGACTCTCCAGCTTTAGTAAATAAACCCCTATGTGTCAAATGACCATATCATACAAGTGCAAACATGCATGTTTATAGCCTAATATGCTCAAGATGGGGGTATATGATCTCAAGCTCAGTTTAGGTCACAACATTTGATATGTACATGTATGGCCAACTTTTAATCACTGCTATTGTTTGAAAAGATGTGCGGCACTATCCACCTACAATGCAAACTCTTGGGCTAATAAAAAATTATTAAGAACAATCCAAAAGTGTGCTGTATTTGTTAAATATAGTGAAATTACATAAACATGTGTTAATAAGAATTAGTTGCAGTAAACCACAGACCGATTTAAATAAAATATTATAAGTTACGGTAATATATATGACACAAAGTCCAAAGTAAGTCCCAATGTAAATGTACAGATTCGAGATGTGCAAAGAAAATCACTCTTCAATGGTAATCAGATGTGTTCACAAAGAAGAAAACCTCCACCAACCCAAAAGGGCAAGCGCTCAACTTCTGGATTGACCCTCACTACAAAGGTCAAATGAGCACGTGTGAAGCGCCAGGACTCAGAGGGGACCAGATCCAGCCTGTGTATGTAGCCCAGAGTGCTGGTCTGTGGGACTACAAAGCCCAGCACAACTCACTGTAATAACTAAAAAACACTTTATTAAAACCTCAATGCACTCACATATAAAATGGCAAATGAAAGCAGCTCTCAAACGCATCCAACGACTGCTGACAAACTGTGTTGTCCTGAAGGAGAAAACTCAATGCCAAAGTAGTAAAGTAAAAAAAACCCTCCCCCTCACTACTGTTTGGCTGAATACATAAATGGAGACTTCCATGCTGTACTACAGTATGTTCAATCAGCAGAATCCCGATGAGTCAGATATTGTAATCTTCAGTAGCATGGTGTCAGTTAAACATCCTAAAGGAATTGACATTGCGTGGCTCACATGACACAGTTATCTGGGAAATTGCTTTTTACTTGGTAGAGAGTGGGGGGGTTGGGGGGAAGCTACATTCTATTGTGTATAGATAGATTTTTCCCTTTTAAATCTGTTCACATTAAGGAGAGTCGAGACCTCAATGGTTTATCTGCCAAGTACCTATAACTTTACTATTACTGCATTTTTTTTTTTTTAATAGAGCTGTACAATCTTCAGAACTTGTTGGCAGTGTATGGACCAAGGAAGATAAAGAGATAAATTCACCCAACCTTTTAAAAATGATCCGGCACACAACTAATCTCACATTGTGGTTTGAAAAGTAAGTTCATTGTCTATTTGCAACATTTGTGTCTGATGTAACCAAACTGTTGTCTCTGTTGCTCAGTTGATAACCTTCTTTTGAATTTTGTCTTCGCCCAATACCTTCTTTAATACAGAGAGAATGCACAGTGGTATTCAGGACTGTAGTTTCCCTTTTGAATCACCTGCAGTCCAGTTTCTGTAGGACAAACATCAGGACAAAATGAAACCAGAGGAATCAAGAGATACAGACTTCAGTAAAAGACTTTTGTAACGTATATGATGAGTTTGGTCACTGATGGAGTCACAAGGCTTATCTTTTTTTTTTTCTCCCTTAATGGAAGAATGAAAAGGAAAAAGAATGAGTCTTTCCAGTTGGGGAAGTTCTATTACACTTCACTGTTGGCTGTGATGCTGTTTGCAGTGCACCCACTCGTTGTGGTTGAAATCTGCAGCCTGGAATCATGTGACTCTCTGATCCTTGTGGTGTGTTTTGGCTTATTTTCCCTTACAGCTAGGGTCTCTTTACCACAGTCATGCATAACTTTATGGGCCAAACCACCCAATTTTTTGCAGACTTTGCTTCAGCACCTTCCCTTGCCGATTCTTCATCTGATCTGCCCCCAGCCTATGAGCCATCAGCTGATAGGAATCTGCCTGATTCACTGAGTCACTCCAGTCCTTGCTGGACGAGTTTGCCTTCGAGGAGTCAGTCTTCATTTATACTCTCAAATTAAAACCTTTTGCTTCTCTTGCCTCCTTTGATGTGGTGCACACCACTCTGAAAAGGATCAGCCTTGCTTCTACTAGTGCTATTTCCTGGAGCCCCTAAGACTGCAAACGTTTTCCAGGTGCGCACACTGTTTTAAAGTCTTTTCTACAGAGATTGGAAATGCCCTGACAAGATGTTTGCTCCCTCCCTGCTTCCTTTCCCCAAGCATTTATTAGACTTGTATTTACCGATCAGCCATATCGTTATGACCACCCACCTAATATTGAGTAGGTCCCCTTTTTGCCACCAAAACAGCCCTGACCCATCTAGGCATGGCTTCTACAAGACCTCTAAAGACATGCGGTGGTATCTGGCACTAAACCACCAGCAGCACATCCTTCAATATATAGATATAATGGAAGTATGGAAGGCCAAAAGGCACCACATCTCACAATAATTCTCAAAATAAGTCTTCGAAAAATAAGTGGAACTTTTCAGGTGCCAAGAAAAAAAAACATACATTTTACAATAAAATGGTTTGCTTTATTATACAATAAACCCTGGCACTTTTGCTGGCTGATATCTAAAAAGAGTGGGAAATTTGAGTGGAAAGTGAAAAACAGTTTTACTTGCGACTGCTGCTGATTGCTGGTGCTTGTAGTTGTTTTATTTTCTTCTTTGAGTCTTGCTAGAAGCTTTTACAATTTTAAATCCCTTTCTCTGTCACTTTTTAAATAGCTTTTTTTTTTTTCTTCACTCCCTTGCCTCCCTTTAGTCTGCTAGTTAAGGGGAGGGGTTAATTGGTCACAGGTGCTACAGGTACTATATAACTTTCTGTAGTGCTCACTCTGAGCTTGCTCGTTCTTGAGCTTGCTGGACCTTTGACTAATGCAGGCCATAGACGGGGAGAAAACTGGCCAGTTTTTTCTTTTTCTTCAGATTCCTCTTCTTCTTCAGAATTTTTATCGGTAAAAAGATCGGCCGATTTGCCCATCATTACCGCGAAGATCGGCAAAATCGGCCAACTTTTTTCCAACTTTACCGATCAAATAAATCTGACAAAATCCAGAAAAACGGCCAACCAATTAACCCATTAACGGTGCGAACATCGGCCGATTTTTTTTTTTTTTTTCCGGCAGAAAAATCGGCCAATTTTCGACCCATCTATGGCCTGCATAGGTGGACATTTGATAAGTGGAGTTAAAAAACCGGAGTAGAAAACAGGAGATAACAGGAGTATACTAACCTGTAAGTGACATCTGATATTTCCTATTAGTAATTTTAATATTGTAACTGGGATATGAGTGATAGCAGGGTTGAAGGTTTGTGCCACATGTATACAACAATGGAGGAACAGCTCCAGGATGGATACCGCTGCGACAGATGTGAGCGGGTTGCCTTTCTGGAAGCTCGCGTTAGAGATCTAGAGGAGCAAGTTGCAACACTGGGCAGAACCGACAACCTTGAAAGGGGTCTTCTGCTCCCTGAGCAGGTAGCTAATGGGATTGATGTGGAGGGGCTAATCAGGATTATCAGGTAGGAAGATGGTTTACTGTAGCAAAAGGGAGTGGTAGGGGCTCACAGAAAAGGAAAGCCTGATTTTTTCTGAAATATTACCTGTGCCATGTGCAACTTAGGAAAGAGTGGGATATTAGAGAACTAATTGCATGGCTTAAGACCTGGTGTAAGAGCGAAGGATTTGAGGTTCTAGAGCACTGGGCTGACTTTTCATTGGGTGCAGCCTACAGTAGATATAAAAAGTCTACACACTCCTGTTACAATGTCAGGTTTCTGTGATGTAACAAAACGAGACAGAGATAATTTCAGAACTTTTTCCACCTTTAATGTGACCTATAAACAAACTGAAAATGTTTAGGTGGAGGGAAGTAAAAATAAAAAACTAAAATAATATGGTTGCATAAGTGTGCACACCTTTAAACTAATACTTTGTTGTAGCACCTTTTGAGTTTATTACAGCACTAAGTCTTTTTGGGTATCAGTCTGTCAGCATGGCAAATCTTGACTTGGCAATATTTGCCCACTCTTCCTTACAAAAACACTGCAAATCTGTCAGATTGTGAAGGCATCTCCTGTGTACAGCCCTCTTCAAATTAACCACAGATTTTTGATCAGATTCAGGTCTGGGCTCTGGTTGGGTCATTCCAAAACTTTAATCTCCTTCTGGTAAAGCCATTCCTTTGTTGATTTGGATGTATGCTTTGTGTCGTTGTCATGCTGAAAGATGAAGTTCCTCTTCATGTTCAGCTTTCTAGCAGAAGCCTGAATGTTTTGTGCCAATATTGACTGGTATTTGGAACTGTTAATAATTTCCTTTACCTTGACTAAGGCCCAGTTCCAGCTGAAGAAAAACAGCCCCAAAGCATGATGCTGCCAACACCATGCTTCACTGTGGGTATGGTGTTCTTTTGGTGTTTTTTGCGCCAAACATATCTTTTGGAATTATGGCCAAAAGGTTCAACCAGACCATAACACATTTTCCCACATGCTTTTGGGAAACTTAAGATGTGTTTTTGCAAAAATGTAGCTGGGCTTGGATGTTTTTCTTTGTCAGAAAAGGCTTCCGTCTTGCCACTCTACCCCATAGTCCAGACATATGAAGAATACAGGAGATTGTCACATGTATCCCACAGCCAGTACTTGCCAGATATTCCTGCAGCTCCTTTAATGTTGCTGTAGGCCTCTTGGCAGCCTCCCAGACCAGTTTTCTTCTTGTCTTTTCATCAATTTTTGAGGGACGTCCAGTTCTTGGTAATGACACTGTTGCGCCATATTTTCTCCACTTGATGACTGTCTTCACTGTGTTCCATGGTATATCTAATGCCGTGGAAATTCTTTTGTACCTTTCTCCTGACTGACACCTTTTAACAATAAGATCCCTCTGATGGTTTTGAAGCTGTCTGCGGACCATGGCTTTTGCTGTCGGATGCGACAAAGAAAATGTCAGGAAAGACCTACTAGAACAGCTGAACTTTATTTGGGGTTAATCAAAGGCACTTCAAATGATGGCAGGCGTGTACTGACTCCTATTTAACTCCTATTTATTGATTGACTCCTATTTAACTTTTTTGAATGTGATTGCTTAATTCTGAACACAGCTACATCCCCAGTTATAAGAGGGTGTACAAACTTATGCAACCACATTATTTTAGTTTTTTATGTTTACTTCCCCCCCCTAAAAGATTTCAGTTTGTTTTTCAATTGAGTTGTACAGTATATAGGTCACATTAAAGGTGGGAAAAGTTTTGAAATGATTTATCTTTGTCTTATTTTTTTTACATCGCTGAAACATGACATTTTAACAGGGATGTGTAAACTTTTTATATCCACTGTATATGCTATGTAACCCCAATTTAATGCAGACAGAAACAATCACCATAAATAATACAGTTTCCCTTTATATCAATTCAAGGCATCTTCGCATGTTTAAATAGGTGTTGTTATAAGTAGTGGTGTCAACATGTTTTACCCATTGCTTCTTCAGAAAACACACTACTCTAAAAATAGTGAAAAAAGTGCAGCGCTACATATCATAAAACTAAAAACAAAACATGATCATTGACAACGTGATGAATAAATGTGAAAGTCCAAACACAATTCTTCTAAATAGAATTTTTCTTTCTGCCGTGATCACCACGTGCTCCAACCAAAAAAGTGCTCAATTCCTCCACCAGATGTCTACTTACCTCCAGCAGTGTGACCTCACATATAATATGTTTGGTCTAAAACTGCACTTTTGGTCCTACAATGGACACTGAAGATCAACTTGCTGAATAAATGGATGTGGCTATCTCACTCCGAGTACATCCCTCTTCAGCAATATACCTCATAAATAAAAAACACTCCAATTAGTGTGTAAAAACGGAAAACGTTTATTAACAATATAGCATATCCAAATGCACACTCACATGAGCCAGGTGCCTGACCGCAAAAACTGTAACAAACCTCCACGATCTCAAGAAGCTGTGCCGCTGTAGACAGCTCAATACATTTAACATGTATCAGCGGTGTATCCTCCAGTCATGGAATAATATGAAACAGAAACATGGGACACAACTGTCACAAGGGCCCTCTGTGTATTAACAGAGTGTCTTCCGATCTACGTCCGCATGAAAGGATGCATGCCACCGCTGTGATAATGCCAGCTCCTAGTTGCGTTATGACGTCATCCAAAAGCACCTCCCTGATGCGTTTCATCACTGATCACATGACTTTTTCAAGGGGATCTGATTGGGCCGTCCAACGCCGTACAAGCATATATATATAGACTCCAGTGCCATTTTGTCGTAGACAATTAGGACGCACCATTTTGAAGTGATAAAAGCTATATTATGATTGTACCAAGTCTCACAGAGAAAATACCCTGGTCCTATATTTTTACATATACAAATTTAGAATGAATTTATGTCACTAGCTAGCACAGATTCCTAGATAACGTGGATCTTCCTACAAACATAGCTGCATTGATGAACATGAAGCCTTCCATAGCATGGAGTATACATAATGAGGGGAATCAAGAAATACTAATGCATCCCAAATATATATCCCATGCCATGAAGAACAATGATAGTAATGAAATTAAAATACATATAATAAAAGTAATTTAAAAATCACTGATAAAACAATATAAATCAAATTCTTTATTCATTCCTCTTGGGGCCAGAGTCTTAAGCTCATGATCTTATTCTCACCCCTCCAGTTACGTTTATAGGACTCAATCCCCAAAAATTGTAAACCTGAACAATCCTTAGTGTTTGTATAAGAAAATGTCTAGACACAAAATTTTTGGGAAATCCCTTACTAATGTTGCAAACATGTTCCTTCACCCTTTCTTTTAACGTCCTTTTTGTGCACCCCACATATTGGAGCCCACATGGGCATAAGAGGGTGTTCACCACTCCTGCTGTGTCACAAGATACAAAATCTTTAATCAAGTACTCCTTGCCTGTTGCAGAACTAATGAAAGATGTTCTCCTTTTATTATTATTATTAACCCTGGTGCAACTGTAATACCAGCCACAAACAAAAAAACCTTTACCCTTAAAAGAAAAAAAAAAAAAAAAAACATTTCTTGGGGGGATCTACTACACTACGCACCAATTTGTCCCTCAGAGTGGGGTTTTTTTTTTTATATATAAAAACCTAGGTATATCTGAGAGAACAGAATTTAAATGTTTAACTAGTTTAAGTATAGGCCAATATTGTTTAATTATATGCTCCACTTGTTTAAATTGGGCATTGAAATCCAGAATAACTGATAACCCTTACGTAATCTTATCCACTCTACTTTTATCTTTATCTGCCAACAGAGAATTTCTATCAAGGCATCTTACCTTCTCTCTTTCTGATTCAATAAAATGTCTATCATATCCCTTTTCCATAAACCTATGCGCCAGCATATGTAGCTGATATATATATAGTCTTCCTCCTTACTACAATTTCTTTTTAATTTCATAAACTGGCCCCTTCGAAACATTGACAAGCCAAGGCCTATGATGACAATTGTGACTCGGTATGTAAGAGTTTCTGTCCGTATTCTTGAAAAAGGTTTTGGTTTTAAAACCACCCTCATCCTTGGTAAGCTCCAGATCCAAAAAATATATCAGAGTCTTACTGGACTCCCACATAAGCCTAATATTCCTATTGTTGATATTCATGTTTTCCAGCATAACTTCTAAGTCCTGTATAATTAGGTCATCAATAAACCTGCGATAAAGGCTAAGCTGTGGGGAGAGCATTTCTTAAGAACCACTTCCTCCTCCTACTGGGCCATGTATAGGTTAGCTATACTAAGGCATAATTGCATAGAAAAACACATAATTATGAATGTGGTAATTCATTGAGAACTACAAGCTGACAACCGCAAAAGAATGTTGGTACGTGTATGAATGAAGTGACCATGTGGGTGCAGCCCCGCACAGCCACTCCATTTTCAAAAAGTGACAGCTGGTACAGGGAATTTCTCCCCTAACTGATATCACGGGGAGAGAGGGGATAGGTGAACAGCTGCAGCAGTGGGTACATGTTCCACCTTAAAAACATGTTCCCACAAGAAGGTGCCTCAGCACTACTAAGTTATTTGGATTAAATCCAAATTCTACAAAATAATATAGATAAAAAGCTTTAAGAAAAACATCCTACACAAAATTAAACTTTTCTTTTCCTTTATATACACCTGGGAATATTATAAATATAAAGATTGCTTTGTTAAATTTGTATTTTAACTATATGTTTTTCTGTGCAGTGCCTTTGTGTGTTTCCTGAAGAAACAATTGTCAAAACGTGCTATTTTTAATAGCATCTGTTTAAACCTGTGAAGACGCCTTGAATTGATATAAAGGAAACGTTACTATTTTTAGTGATTGTTTGAAATTATGTTTCATTGTATAATGAGGCAAAATATTTTATTGTAAATTGAATCTTTTTTTTCTTGGCACCTCAAAAGTCCCACTTGTTTTTCCAAAGAGTAGATTCAGTAAGTTCTGTATGTTTCTAGGCGGGGCCTCCACGGATCAGACTTGTTTTTCCAGCACATCCCAAAAATGCTCGAAGGATTGAGTGCTGGATAATTTGGTGGCCAAATAAATACCTCAGACTCGTGTTCTTCGAACCGTTTATGAACCATGTTTGCAGTGTGGCAAAGAGCATTGAAAAAGGCCACCGCCATCAGAGAATACTGTTTGCATGAAAGGGTGTACTTGATCAACAACGTTTAGGTAGCTGGTGGTACATGTCGAGTAACATCCACGAGACCCTAGGTTTCCCAGCAGAACATTGCCCAAAGCATCACACTGCCTCCGCCTGCTTGCCTTCTTCCTATACTGAATCCTGGTGCCATCTCTTTACCAGGTAATTGACACACACCCTGCCATTCACATAATTTAAAAGAAAATGTGACTCATCAGACCAGGCTACATTCTTCCAGTGCTTTAGTTCTGATGCTCACATGCCCATTGTTGGCACTTTTGGCTGTGGACACAGGTTAACATGGGCACCCTGACTGGTCTGTGCTTATGTAGCCCCATACACAACAAACTGTGATGCCCATTTTTCTGTTTTCAACATGTTTACTTGCTGCCTAATAGAACCCACCAACTTACAGATGCCAGTGTTATTTATTTATCTTGTCAGTGGTCATTAAGTTATGGCTGATCATTGTATGTTTGTCAAAAAGTGGTCTGTCCCCATTGTGAATCTGGTAGTGTACTGTTTTAACATGGTGAGCACCATTCTGGTGGAGGATGCACCTGTCTTAAAGTGGACACTAATTTTGGACTCCAGCAACAGTCTTTTTTATAATTTATTAGCAAGTTATCCACAGTATCCACAAGATCAACGAGATCTAACGCGTTTCTGCGTTTTCACCATAATCCTTAATCATAGCTAACTTGTATTCATCTCTCCATTTTAAGCACCACCGCATGTCACAAGAAACAAGCTGCTGGATTACATTATCCTTCAGCTGCATGCATGCAATCATTCCTCTCCTGTGCATTCAGTGGAGGAGAAGACAATTCCAGACATATTGAGTACAACAGATTTGCATTTGGAAGGCGGACAATTTTCCCCACTATTCCTGTTCTGGGGACAACCTAAGATTCAGGATTTTCTTTTACTTTCACTTTTGATGATAGCAGTAAACAGAATAAATAGATGAGATTAATCTCCCTAATGTGGTAACCGCAAAAGAAAAAAAACTGACCGGTGTTCTAATCCCTCTCCACTCCATACACGTTTTTCCTTTAGTTTTGCTTTATACTTTATAATATTGGCAGCTGTAGTCACAGGAACATCAAGATGCTGGGAGATGATCTTATAGCTTTTATCTTTGATACACTCATCTATAATTTTCTTCCTGATCTTTTCAGACAACTCTCTCCATTGCTTTCTCTGGTCCATGTTCAGTGTGGTGCACACAATGATTCCTAACAGTGACTACCTTTTTCCATTTAAAGAGGCTGATTAATTATGAGATTGAAGATTGCGATACTAATTACAGCCACAGTGGGAAATATGAGTATAATCCAATGATTTATATTCTTTTTTCTAGGAGTACATACAAATCTATCCATGCCATTTTAGAATACAGTATCTATGTATAATAAGCAATTGTGTATTGCGTTTCACAGTTTACTTGCCTTTCTCCAGGACATACCAATTATGTAGGTATACATAAGACAATTGTGATCACTTACCAACAATTAAGCATTGTTTCAGTAAGCTGTCAGGGGACTACAATTCTGTCTGTCTGTAGTTGATCCTCTGGTATCACCTGCTCAATGAGTGTGGATTAATGAGCCTACATAATTCAGTATTTATGGGTTCTGCACCCTCTAAAATGGGTGGCACTGGAATGTGAAAAAGAAAATGCTACAACCTTTTTAGGAATGTGCCAAGGATTGGATCCTTTTGGTCTTGGAGAGTTTCTTCTGTGTTTTTAGACAGAAGAACAAGAGATAATCCTGCCACTCTAAACAGGAAGCAGAAGGCAGTGACTTGGTAATAAATGATTATGGATTTTATGCTTTAAATTGGTGATAATTGGCACCTAATTTAGATGCAGTGTTTGTAGTTCTTCATTAATAGATAATGATACATGCCTAATGAATACCCCATTTGAGCTTGTTTGTTTCATTCATCCTCTTCGTTGGGTCATTTTATGTACTGTTTTTTTTTTTTTTTTTGCTGTAGGTGCATTGTAGAAACAGAAAACGTAGAAGAGCGAGTAGTAGTTGTGAGTCGAATCATAGAAATTCTCCAAGTCTTTCAAGAGCTAAACAATTTTAATGGAGTACTTGAAGTTGTAAGTGCCATGAACTCTTCCCCAATATACAGACTTGATAACACCTTTGAGGTGAGTCTTTCATGTATCCATGATAAGGTTGAACCTAACCCACTTCTGAACGGTTTATATAATAGGTTATTAATGAAACATATATCCATTTTTTGTGTTATATTTAACCAGTTTAGGACCTTGCGCATTTCCTTTGTAATATTGAGACCACCAGTCAGCCGCTTGTAAAAGAGACGGTCTTTTTTCAACTTTAACATTGGGCAAACAAAAACCGCTTCCTTGAGCAAATATAAAGCAAATGGTCCATACTCCTGGTATAGCAAAATCAAACGCTTGGGTTACTGCCCATCAACTTGTCCCGTAACAGGGTTACATCCCACCTGCCTCAAGGGGTACCAAAGAGAAGGTTTCTAGCCATAATGTAGAGTCTTAGCCACAGACATTCCACCACTCTGCCTCCTCAGTGTGTACTGCAGCACACTCCAATTCACAGACAGCTGCTCACAGCTTCCTATTCCTCATTAGGTTTCTCTTGCGAGTGGCTTATCCTCTTTAGGACCAAAGTCCCTGTAATTGGGGTTTGGAGGTTCTTTTCCACCCAAAAGTCTCTCTGAACCACAGGATTCTGGGTCCCAAACAAGGCACTGAGGGTCACCCTACAGAGGGCACTGTGTTCTGCTACAAATTTAAACTTGTAATGCCAAGATACTCTGGCATTGGTGTGTTTTGTCCTATCCAAGTCATTGGGCATGGTCAGACACCAGCTCAAACTTTCTGCAAAGGAGAATATAGTGTAGCGAATCTAGGCCACCTAATTACCAAGCACTCTAGCTAAACTGCCGCATAATTTTTCTCGGCGGCTGTCAACTTCCTACAAAGAAAGAGTGTTCCGCATTAACATTTTGAGACAGAATGGCTCCTAAGACGTTGCTGGAAGTATCTGTTTGAACAGTTAATTCGTTAGAGAAGTCTGGTGCAACCAGAACTAAATACTGGCACAAAACAGTTTTAAGCTCCAGAAAAGACTTCAGCCCTATCACTCCACTTGACCATGACTAACTTCTTGTTAGGTCAGTCAGTGATACATCAATGGTAGTACAGTTGGTGACAAGTCGGTAGTACCCAACGACACTGAGAAAGGCTTGGACCTGTTAATTTGTGATGGGGCAGGCCATGCTTGAATAGCTTCTGCCTTTGTTCAACTGAGGTTTCAACAAACCCCTACCCACAATATACCTCAGGTACTTGGTCTCTTTCAGAATAACGGTAAACCTTTCCCTTCTTTAGGGAGTCTAATACAGCCTGCTTTCGGAGAAGATGGGATTCCTAGTCTGAATAAGATAACAATGTAATTCAAATACCACTATGTGTATTTCCGATGAGGGAAAATAGCTGGAGCAGAATGTAACTTAAATAGCATTCTTTTATATTGGAAGTGACCTTATGGGGTGGAAAAAGCATTCTCTCTGGCAAAGGCGGCAATGTACTGGCTGGTGCTAACCTCTCTATCAGCACTGCAGGTTGTTAGTTTAGAGTTAACTATGAATTATGGGCCTAAAATTATTAATGCCACTCAAGGAGAAATCCAGGCTGCTCTGAAAACAGGCGAAGGTGTTGTTTAAAGGAGCACACTATGATGATACTTGAACAAAAATGAGCTGCATGATCGAGTTGCCAGAAAGAAGCCTTTACTGCACAAATGCCACAAAAAAGCCCAGTTACCATATGCTGAGAACACCTAAAGGCTTCTTTCTGGCAACTCAACCATGCAGCTCATTTTTGTTCAAGTATCGTCATATTGCGCTCCTTGGAACAACCACACCGTCTTTTTCCAAAGCAGCCTGGATTTCTCCTGAGGTTACCTGTGGGTTTTTTTGTTGTATCCTGAACAATTCTTCTGGCAGTTGTGGCTGCAATCATTCTTGGTCTACCTGACCTTGGCTTGGCTGGTATCAAGTTCAACTTCTTAATAACTGATTGAACAGTACTGACTGGCATATTCAAGTCTCTGGCTATCTTTTTATATTCTTTTCCATCTGAATAAAGTTCCATTTACCATGTTACGCAGGTCTTTTGACAGTTCTTTTCTGCTCCCTATGGCTCAGCAGTTAGCTTGTTCAGTGAATCTATGTGAGAGTTAACAAACTCATTGACTATTTATACACAGATACTAATTGCAATTTAAAAAGCCACAGATGTTGGAAATCTTTTACTGCCATTTTAACCTGCGAGTGTCAACTTTTGTGTTTATACCAAGGCCAAACAATATAGGGCATGTAAACTTTTGATCAGGGCCATTTGGGTGATTTCTGTTATCATAATGATTTAAAAAGGAGTCAAACATCTATGTGAAAATAAATGGCTTTATATGGTCACTCATCCTAAATAAGACAGTTTTTTTGGCATGATCAGTCATATTTTCAATATTAAACCAAAAGTTCACGATTTCTGCCACGGTATGCAAACTTTTGAGCACAACTGTATATCTACAGACTGGTCAGTAAATGGTTAAAATAAGGTTGGGTTTATTCAAGAATAGGGATATACATAAATTAATGACAGGTAGTGAAAGACGTAAATTATAATTACAATGGAAATCAAGAAGGGGGTAAGGTGGCAGGGAGAAAGATGGAGATGAGAAAAAGGAGAGTTTCTGTGTCCTCCACAATCTTTCTCACTGAATCTTCATACAAGTGTTTCTTGTCCAACCTTGTAACACTGCCACCAGATGGATCTCAGCAAATCGCATTCATGTTTTATGAATTTAACCGCTTCCTGGCCGCCCTATAGCAGATATACTGCTACAAACGCGGCACGTGTGTGCAAAATCGTGTGTATATATACACGTGATTTCGTATTTCTGGGTAGGGAGCGTGCGGGTTCCGGGCGGTGATTACTCGCTGGGGCCGAGCATCTCTGACGGGGAGGTGAATTGTATACAGTTGTATGCAGTTCTCCTCCCTGTCAGCTTGTGCACACTGCTTTGGATGGCTGTGCATAGCACAGCCATGCAAAGCAGTGTGCTTACAGTGAAGCACAGACACAAGTAAAAATGCACACAGTTAACCCTTTGATCGCCCCTCATGTTAACCCCTTTCTGCCCTGTGCTCTTAGTATCAGTGTCAGTGTTTTTTTTTTCTTTTTTAAGCACTGATCACTGGTGTCACTGAGAATGTCAGTGACACCAAGTCAGTTTTCCCCAGTGTCAGAATGCCCACTGCTAGTCCTGCTATAAGTCTCTGATCGCCGCCAATACTAGTAAAAAGTAAAAAAAAATTCCAGTATCTATATCGCCATTTGTAAACGATATAACTTTCACGTAATCCAATTAATTTATACATACTTGGATTTTGTTTAGCAAAGACACATAGCAGAATATGTTTTGGCCTACATTTATGCTAAAATCTGATTTTTTTTTTTTTTTTTTTTTTAACGGACATGTTTAACTTGTTGCCGACCGCATATAGCAGAATGACGGCTGCACTGCGGCCGGCCAGTTCTGAGTGGACGTCATATGACGTCCCCCCAGAACGCGCGGCGCGCACCCGGCGTTCTCCATGATCGCTGTTTCCTACGGACACAGCTGATCACGTGATGTGGTAAAAGGCCAATCACAGCGGCCTTTTACCACCTGATCAGCGGTGTCCAATGACACGCTGATCAGAGGGAAATGCAAGTGCCGGTTCTCGGCTGCACTTTCCTCACGCTGTCAGATCGTGAGGAAAGTACTGCCGAGAACCGGCAGTTGTCAGAGCGGGGATCGGCACCGATCATCAGGGCACTGATGATCAGTGCCCTGATGATCGGAGCCCAGCAGTGCCACCCGCAAGTTCCGCCCACCTGTGCCCTGCAGTGCGCCCACTAGCTCCGCCCACTTGTGCCCAGCAGATCACCCACCTGTGCCCAGCAGTGCACCCACCTGTGCCACTCTGCAATTTCACACACCTGTGCCCAGAAGTGCCACCTACCTGTGCCCAGCAGTGCCACCCACCTGTGCCCACCCACCGGTGCCCACCAGTGCCACCCACCTGTGCCCACCCACCAGTGCCGCCCACCAGTGCAGCCCAGTAGTGCTGCCAGTCAGTGCCACCAGTCAGTGCCCAGCGGTTGTGCCAGTCAGTGCCGCCAGTCAGTGCCGCCAGTCAGTGCCCAGCAGTGATGCCAGTCAGTGCCGTCTATCAGTACCCATCATCAGTGTCACCTATCTGTGACACCTCATTAGTGCTGTCTATCAGTGCCGCCTATCCGTGCCACCTCATTAGTGCTGCCTATCAGTGCCCTTTAGTGCTGCCTATCAGTGCCCATCAGTGCCGCCTATCAGTGCCCATCAGTGCTGCCTCATCAACGCACATCAGCGAAGGAGAAAAATTACCTGTTTGAAAAATTTTATAAAAGAAACAAAGAAACTTTTTTTTTTTTTTTTCGAATTTTTTATTTATAGCGCAAAAAGTAAAGCGCCCAGTGGCGATTAAATACCACCAAAAGAAAGCTCTATTTGTGAGAAAAAAATGATCAAAATTTCATATGGGTACAATGTTGCATGACCGCGCAATTGTCAATCAAAGTGCGGCAGCGCTGAAAGCTGAAAATTGGCCTGGTAAATAAGGGGGTATAAGTGCCTGTTAGGCAAGTGGTTAATAGCAAAAAGTCCAAAATATTTGGGTTTTTTTTTTCAAAATTGTCGGTCTTTTTTTTTTTTTTTTTTTTTTTTTTTAGGGCAAAAAATAAAAACCGCACAGACATTCAAATACTATCAAAAGAAAGCTCAATTCGTGGGGAAAAAAAGGACATAAATTTCATTCAGGTCCAGCGTTTCATGACCGCGCAGTTATCACTTAAATTAACGCAGCACCGTAACACAAAAATGGCCTGGTAAAGATGGGGGATAAATCCTCAGGGAGGGCAAGTGGTTAATGAGGACTTGTCCAATGGGGTATGCAATAGCTTGTGTTTATTTTGTTGACCTATTTATGTGACATTCAACCTTTTGATGACTACAGAAGACAAAAGTATGACCATAATGTGTCTGCATTATAATATAAAGTATATGTTATCCTAATTTGGCTGTAATAATGAAAATAAACTTAAACATAAAGCCACTGGTAATCTGCTTTTTTTTTGGAATTACATGTTTTTTTTCTATCAAAGCTGCATAAATGGCAGTTTTATCAGTTCCAACATTCCCTAGTCTTATGCATGAATAGCATAGAGACATATGCCACATGAGTGACATGAAAAATTGATATCCACCTTACTCCAGTCCTTTTTAACATTCCTGCATAACAGCATTCCTCTGAATATCATCTCTTCACAAACATGCAAAACCTTGAATCGGGAACTCCTATAGCCAACTTTCACTCACCAATCCACATGAATATCAACAGATAAGTATCAATCTACCAATACCCATCAGGAAAGTCACAACATTAATCTATATTGTAAAGCACTGCAAACTTGATGCTATATAAATTCTATATAATAATGTAACATTGTGATATGTTGCTAAACCTTGTTACCCAAAAAGATAGTTAGTACCCTACAAACTCTAGCCATGCTTTTTTGCATATATGATATGCAAATGTACATATCATATATGGGTTTAGTTGATGGCATCATGTTTTAACATTCTGCATATGACACAAGCTCATAGCCCCTGTTAGAATGGAATGTTTTTCTTAATTTACAAACGTTCATGAACTATGGGTATAGGACAGATAATACATAATACTGATAACCCTATAATATGTTTTGTTCTATATCCACTGGACCTCCGTAAGGTTTACCCCCCCATCATGGCCTCTATTAACCGTTTCCATACAGGGCACTTTTTCCCCCTTCCTGCCCAGGCCATTTTTCAAGTTTCAGCGCTCACACTTTGAATGACAATTGCATGGTCATACAACATTGTACCCAAACTAAAATTTTTATAATTTTCTTCACACAACTAGAGCTTTCTTTTGGTGGTATTTAATCAACACTGGGGTTTTTATTTTTTGCTAAATTAACAAAATTGTGAAAAAAAAACACGTTTTTCTTTGTTTCTGTTATAAAAGTTTGCAAATAAATGTTCTTCATGAATTTAGGTCAAGATGTATTCTGCTACATGTCTTTGGTGAAAATAACCCAAATTAGGATGTATTTTTTAGTTTGTAGGAAAGTTATAGAGTTCACAAACTATGGAATATCTGAATCTGAATATTGATCAATCCTGAAGTACTGACAGCCAATCTAATTTCTTGAGGTCCAAGAATGTCAGAACAGTACAGATATCTTCCAAATAACCCCTTTTTGCAGAGTAGACAGTCCGACGTACTTCATAAGAGGCATGGCAAGTTTTTTGAAGTTGTATTTTTTTTGTCATTTTTCGGAAAATGAAAAAATAAAAAAAATTATTTTCACAATTTTTTTTTTTTACATACTGTCACCAGTGCAGTACAGCATCATCATATAACTGGCATGGCGGTGATCAGGGACACTGATTGGTGACAGTATGAAAAAAAAATCTATATATTTTTTTTAAATTTGTTTTTATTATTTTTAATTTTTTATTACTTTTTTTTTTTTTAAGATTTTTTTATTTTTTTTACTATGACCAAAGTAGTACAATGTTACCATAGTAACATTGTACTACTTTGGGGAAGTGATTTTTTTTTTACACAATTTGCTTATAGCAAAGAATTACTTTGCTATAAGCAAGCATTTACCCGAATGACATTGATTCATTCAGGGTTTTTTTTTGTGCTTAGCTGTGATTTGGCCACGGCTAATCACATGACACAACTGGGCTGTGATTGGCCCAGCTTGTGCATGTGATCGCTGTGACCATTCACAGCTAGACACACCTAGTATACAATGGATGGCATGAATGAAGCCATTCATTGTATACAACTGTCGTGTGACCTGCTGTGATTGGTCACAGCAGGTCACATGGTACCGGCAACGGGGCCGGTACTCAGATCTGTTATCGGCCGTGTCCAAGGTACATGGCCGGTGACCGATCGCGCCGCTGCGCGGCTTAGCAGGCATGCAAACTGCGCATGCCCGAAAGGACGCCATATGGCGTCCACCCGGAACGCTGAGGGATTTTGCCGCCCGCCAATCGGCTATTGGCCGGGCGGCAAGAGGTTAATCACCAATGTGAACAGCGGCAATGGCAACATTGAGGCTCACAATACTATTGGGCTGTGGGATTGCTGGGCAGACTGAACTGGGGAAAAGTCTGCATTTGAGATCTCTGAGGTGCTTGTTACTGAATTATAGAGAAAATGAGGGCAAAAAGTATGGCTATCTTTTGAGGTAAATTTGGTAAAGGTGTAACCCTCTAAATTTTATATAATTTGGAGGTTAAGGTTGAAGTAGTCTACAATACCTTTATGCCATTGTGTTCACATTTATTTTTTGTCATACTCACTTTGGAACTGATCATAATTAAATGTCTGGCATAATGTTTTCGATAAAGTTGTTTTTTTATGTTTTTCTTCCTTTATAGCAAATATCAAGTCGGCAGAGGAAAATTCTAGAAGAAGCTCATGAATTGAGTGAAGATCACCAAAAGAAGTATTTAGCTAAGCTCAGGTCAATTAATCCACCATGTGTGCCTTTTTGCGGTAAGTATTGTTTGATATTTAATTTAAAAATAATGTATGTGATGGCTTGATAAAAAATTATCCACATCCTTTATAATTTCAAAGATCACAAATTGCTTTTTGAATTATCAGTGGAACCTTTTGCACTGCTAGATGCAGATAACGCATGCTTAAATAATAATAATAATATATTTATCATATTACATCAAAAAAAAATACACATTTAAAAGCCAACAAGCATTGAAAGATTCCTGTCAGACATGTTAAATCTTGGAAGTCTTGATAATTTATGATTCTGTATATGTATAAGTATGTAAATGGCTAGCACCTTAACTTTCAAAATTTTGCACATACATATTTTGTATCCGTTATGATTGTGGATTCACACGTGCGGTGCCAATTGAAGCTCCGTTTTCACAGCTGGTTGACAAAGTAGTTGATCATGATCATGTTTACATCAGGATCAGGTCAAAAAACTGGAAAAAAAGCAAACAGGTGGGGCAAACACCTAGTGCATTATCCAAGGTTTATCAAAATGTTTAAAAACACAAAAAAACATACTCACAAACTTAGCACATAAAAAAGTCTATAAGGCCACAGTGATGGCCAAAATGATGGCAGAGTGTCGGTCTGGTGGTGTGGTTGGCCTTCTAACACATTTCAGAGACGTGTCCCTTTCCTCAAAGCTGGTGCCCTACTATATACTGTATAATATATATATATATATATATATATATATAAAAAAAAGTTTGTGAGTGTTTTTTGTTTTGTTAAACATTTTAATAAACCTTGGATAACACGCTAGGTGTTTGCGCCACCTGTTTGCTTTTTACCAGTTCGTTGATCTCCCCATCTAAGTAGGGCTGCATCTCTGGGGCTTTATCAATAGGTCACTCACACATCTGATTCCCTGGCCTCTCCCTGGTATTTACCCCTTTGAGGTGCTGGAGAGTTAGTACTTTTGTCCTATCAGGATCAGGTCAGGTTTATAACAGGACAGTGGCATAACTGGAACCTTCAGGGCCCTGGTGCAAGAAACCCTGAAGGGCCCCCCTGACCCCAAACTTGAACGCCAGGGTCCACTCGCAAGTGCAACCTTTGTTACTCTGGTGTCAGTGGTATGGTTGTGGTTGGGAAATTTTTGAAAAAACTACTTGCCTAGGGATTCAATCGGTATTCCAATCTATTTGTCCAGATTAGAAAAAAATGTTTTTTTTTACCAAAATCGTATTTAAATCAGAGTTACTTTTAGGAATGTCTGGTGCTTTTAAAAACAAAAGGGGCTTTATGGCGACTTAAATGTTTAATATTTTTAACATTGTGCTGTTTATCGCTTCCTCACCTCGCTAGCTGTCTCCAGCACTAAACCCAGGGACTAGCAGGGAGGAGAGAGACCTTGCAGTGTAATGAGCACCGATTGGGTGCTCATCAGGAAAGGGGAGTATCGGGCTTATCCTTTATCCCTTTCACTGCCAGAGCCGTATTTGCATTGTTACAAACATTTTAGGCCTGAAGATTACACAAACCCCCAAACATTAGATATTTTATGAAAGCAGACACCCTACAAAATAAAATAGTGGTAGTTCCAATTTTTTATGTCACACAATATTACCACAAAGGTAATACACTTAAGTTAATTTTAGGGTACAAAAAAGCAATAAATGACCCAATTTTTTTGTAAAATATAAAAGATAAGGTTACACCAAGTGAAGAGATATTCATCATGCCAAACCTTAAAATTCCGTGTGCTCGTGAAATGGGGACAAACTTTAGCACCCTATATTTTTTTATAGGCAACGCTTTTAAAGCCCTTTTATAGGTCATCAGTTTAGCATTACGCAGGAGATCTGGAGCTAGAATTATTGCTCTCATTCCAGCGTGCGGAGCATGTTTATTGCAATCAACTTTTTCATGTGTGGGCGCCCCAGCGTGTGCTTTTAAGTTTGTACGTGCGTATATATATATATTTGGAGGTGGCAGGGATTGAAATTTGGCCAGTTCTGGAGGAAATGAAAAGAAGTCGATTGGCAGATTTAATTGCAGTGGCCACACATGAATCGAAATTTGCCCAACTGCCATGCCTGATAAAATCCGCTCGATCAGTGTCTGCCGCACTGATCTGTGTATTCTAACGGCAGGGGAGTCTCCCTGCTGCCAGAGTAAAATAACACAGCGGGGAGGATTCATCCATCCACCTTGAATTTGTGGATGAGGAAATTGTTTCGTTTTTCGTCAGCCTGCTGGTTTAACAAAAAAAAAAACTGAAACACGTTTGGCCAAAACACATTTGATTGTAAGTTTTTTGTAATTGATAAATATTGAATCTCATTGCTGTGTGCAGATTATATATCTTGTAAGTGAAGGTGGATGGCACTAGCTTTTCACAGATACCTACAGACTGATAAGGTTAAGGAGTTTTACATCGATTCTTCCCATTGAAAAAACAATTGGCATGGGCTCTGTCCAACAACACTTTAGACATTGCAGAGATACGGGTGGATTCTGAAATTTCAGAAAATAATCACCCGTACTGACTAAATGTTTGGAATGTTCCACAAGTAAAACTTCACACTTACAGTCTCAGATTCTTGCTTTCCAGTCCAGTTGTCTGACTTTCTGCTTTTGCCTGAAAATCCTGAGCCTGATAGTAGCCTCCTTCAGGACAGGTCACACAGGACCCTGGATACATTCTAGCAGCAAGGACTTGGTTGTCTCTGGAATGGTGGCACAGGAAGCTGGCTGGAATTGCGGCATACTTAAATTTCCATTTCTTTATCATACATCATGGGACACAGAGAAGGCTTTTCATGACTATGTGGGTTATATGCTAGTTATAGGTGAATGGACACTGGCTAACCAATCAGAGAAGAAGTCCTCCCCTATATAACCCCTCCTACACAACAAGTACTTCAGTTTTTTTTTTGCCAGTGTTTATAAGGTGGGTGGTCACTAAAAGTGTTCCTGGTGCATACCTAACATTTAGTACGGTTCCTTTGGTAATCATAGACTTTAATTGGATCTATTCTGAAAGCTATTAGCCAAAATGGATTTTACCCGAGTCTCCCTGGATAAGGAGAAGAATCCTCTGGGTTTTGCCTGTAATACAGCCTTATGGTGCTGAACCCTGCATAAATGGAACCCTGTGCAATCTGAATCTGACCAGGGCGTTTTCCAGCAGGGTGCTATACAGGTCCATGGCAGTGGTCCCACATTATGGGGACCAAATCCTTGAAGGCCGGTTCACAGATGTTCCAGATGCGTTTCTGCATGTGCGTTTTTGGCGCATTCCGGTGCATTTTTTATGTGTGTTTGACACGTTCCGATGCATTTTTGATGCTTTCTGGTTAATTTTTTCCGTTCTCTTTTTCTTCAATTTAAATAGGGACATGTGCGTTCCAGTGCATTTTTTTGTGTGTTCTGATGTGCTTTTGATGTGTTTTACTGCGTTCCAGTACAGTTATGTGCAGGAAAAATTCAGCCTGTTCTACTTTTTTTTATGCAACTGGAATGCACTGGAACTTCAAGCACTGATGTGAACTATGAAATTGACACCCATATAACCTACTTTCTGTGCGTTTTCAATGCAGAAAAAAAGTACACTGTACACTGAAATGCATGTAGTGTAAACTGGCCGTGAAGGTCTGCGTGACAGGGCCTGCTGTGATGGGTGAAGGTTGCACTCCCATTTTAATTTTGAGTCCTGCAGTGGGAATAGTAAGTTGCCTCCCCTTTTTCTCTTTTTGAAAGATAGAAGAAAAAGTAAAATGGAGGGAAAAAGAGGTGTTGTTTTCCATGCTGTTGGCAGATTTGCCACTAGGGGAGTGCTTAATTTTGCCTGTGCCTGCCTGTTTTTAATTTGAGGGGCCTCTATAGGGAGCAAGCAACCTGTTCTGTGTTGCGATGGCAGGGGGACGTGCATGGTGGTAAAGTGGAAGTCGACCATATTTATTTATGTATCTGGCTCCTGGGCACACGTGGGTGTTCTGCAGCTGGATTGTGGCTGAGACGCAGAGCAGGCTATCTGTGGGGCACCGGAGTACTCCCCTGAGGGCAGAAATTGACTATATCAGACAGGAGGCTGCCTCTGGCGGCCCATGGAAGTCAGCAGTTTGCAGTGAGTGTATGAGGGTCACACTATCTTGCATAGTTGTATCCTGGGCTCTCTAAATTTCTTTCTTTATCGCATTTAGGATAAGTGCTATAGGAAATAATGTCTTTCTGAAAGCGGAGTGGGGGAGGCGCAGCAGGATGGGGCAGATGTGCACCACCATCAGGTCTTGAGGAACTTAGTCACAGTTCCGCTGTGTTAACCTCTCCTGAAAGGCCAGGAGCCTCTGGGCAGTCTGAGCCATTACATTTTTCTGGCATTGTGGCTACTACTGCTGCATCCTCTTCGGCGTATGTAACCAAGGAGGATCTTGCTTCAGCCTTAGCAGGTTTAGAAGATAAGATTGCAGGAATTATTGCATCTGTTTCTCAGGTGAATAAGAAACGGTAGAGAATCTCATTCACCGGACAAACTGGTCTTTGACGATTAATGGTTGGAACCAGAGGATGAGTGGGCATTAGAGGACCTTGGATTTACTGTCTGAAAGATTGCAGACTGAGGAGAAGCAGGCAGTTTCTGCCTCTCAGTCTCAAAGGTTATTGTTTCAGGACCTTACTAATATGGTCCGTTCAGGATTTAAATTATGGCCCATAGAATCGTCTGAGATTACGTTTTCTTCTCTGGGCTCTTTAAACCCGGGTTCACACTATGCGGTGTGGGACACCGCATGTAATTCACACAGGAACCGCACCGAATTCCTGTGCGAATTGCATGCAAATGTCTGTGCAATGCGACTTGTGTCATGCAATTTGTATGGCTCAAATCGCATCCGCACCAAAAAGGTGCAGGACCCTTTTTTTAAATCCGCACCTTAATCACATCTGCGATCTGTTTTGAGGTGTCATTCATTTATCTTTGACACCGCATGAATGTGATGCGATTGCATTGCGGTGCAGGAAACGCACAGGATTCT